GGGGACTGGAGGTGGTGGTGGTATTTATTCTCGGGGCCCACAAGTGCGCGAGCGGGAGCGGCCGCGAGCGAGCGTATGGGCGGCTCCTGCCGCCTGTGCCGTTCACCCGTCTCGTTGCTCGCTGCGCGCGGGCCCGTCGTGACCTGCCGCGCGCGTCCAGGGCGGCTGGCCGAGCGGCCCTTCGTTGGTGTGGTCCTTCGGGAGTATTTTTCCCAACCATCCTGTGGTGTTGGGTCCTCGTTTTGAAGAGACAGCGCCCCGCGTCTCCTTCCTCTCCTCTCTTCCTCTCCTCTCTTCCTCCCCCTCCCTCTTTCTCCTCCTCCACCTCCTCCTCCTCCTCCTCCCCCTCTTCCCTCCTCCCATCCGTGCCTCTGCCCTCCGTATGTCTCTGCTTCGGTACACCCCTCACACGTTTCGTGGCCCCGTAGGGAACTCCACCGAAGGCCCCAGAGGCGGTGCCCACATGCGTCCCCGCCACCCATTTCGGCGCACCCCTCCCACGTTTCGTGGCCCCATCGGGAGCTCCACCGAAGGCCCCAATGGCGGTTTCCACATGCGTCCCCGCTACCCATGTCGGCACACCCCTCACACGTTTCGAGGCCCCATAGGGAGCTCCATCGAAGATCCCAGTGGCAGTGCCCACATGCGTCCCCGCCACCTATTTTGCAACACCCTTCTCATGCTTCGTGGCCCCATAGGGAACTCCACCGACGGCCCCAGTGGCGGTGCATACTTGCGTCCCCGCCACCCATGTCGGCACACCCCTCGCACGTTTTGGGGCCCCATAGGGAGCTCCACCGAAGGCCCCAGTGGCAGTGCCCACATGCGTCCCCGCCACCCATGTCGGCACACCCCTCACACATTTCGTGGCCCCATAGGGAGCTCCACCGAGGGCCCCAGTGGAGGTGCCCACATGCGTCCCCACCACCCACTTCGGCACACCCCTCGCACGTTTCGTGGCCCCATAGGGAGCTCCACCGAAGGCCCCAGAGGCGGTTCCCATATGCGCCCCCGCCACCGATTTCAGCACACCCCTGACACTTTCGTGACCCCATGGGGAGCTCCACTGACGGCCCCAGTGGTGGTGCATACATGCGTCCCCGCCACTCATTTCGGCACACGCCTGACACGTTTCGTGGCCCCATACGGAGCTCCACCGAGGGCCCCAGTGGAGGTGCCCATACGCGTCCCCGCCACCCATTTCGGCACACCCCTCACACGTTTCGTGGACGTTTCGTGGCCCCATGGGGAGCAAGAAATCCTGTCGAAGTCACGTTGATGATGGGGCTACGGAGGTCCACAGAGGCTCGCACGAAGGCTCACCCGACGACTGGCCGAGCGGCTCTTCGTTCTCAGAGCTCTCGAGGCGCTGTCTCGCCTCGTCCTGCCTCCCTGCTATGGCCTGCCTCCCCTTCGCGTCGTGGAAAAAAGCAACGGGAATGTTTTGTGGTTTCGGCATCGCGTCGTGACAGAAACAAGCCTCTCCCAGACCCCCTCGCGTCGTGAACAAAAGGCACGACAGGAGTTTTCTGTGGCTTCCGGCCTCTGGAGGCCGTCGCCAGGCCTCGGGACCATCCACGAACGACTCAGGATGAGAAGCCGGTCCTCGGGGCATGAGCCGAAACCTCCTGGGGGTCCACGTCGTGAAAACAGCATGGCGTCGGAGGTCTGGGCCTCCGGTCCTCTCCCCTCCCTGGCCCTCCTCCCCTTCGGGGTGCGATGTGTGGCCACCGCCCCCGCCCGCGTAGCCTGTGCTGGGTCAGCGTTGTCGTTGGGGTGGTGTGCAGCACTCGCGCCCCCAGGGGCTGCCGCTTGTGTGCACCACCCCCGCTCCGCGGTCTACCGGGCCGGGCGAAATGGGGGGATTGGGAAAGGGGGGGTTACGAAATTTGCTGCATGCAGCTGGTTTCGGCCTCACCGAGGGGCCCATGCCTCGATACATAGCCACCTCTGGCGGCGGGAGGCGGCGGGAAAATCAGTTACGTGAGCTGATTCTCAACCCCCCCCTTTGCTATCCCCCCCTTTCGCCCGACCCGAGTCTTGTGCCGGACCAGCTTGCCTGGGGGTTGTGTGCAAATATCTCGCCCCCCCCCCTCCTTCCCCCTCCCTGGCCCTCCCCTCTCTCCTCCCGCCACCCGTGCCACCAGGCGGTGGCCGTCGGCACAGTGCCCCTGGTCGTGGACGACCCGGCGTTCGACCCTCGCCTCTACGAGGACCGCTGGCGTGTGCGGAGTGACCCAGACCCCCTCGCGTCGTGGCGGAAATCACGACGGGGGTGTTGATTGTTGTTCCCAACCATCATGTGGTGTTTCGTCCTCGTTTTGAAGAGACAGCGCCCCGCGTTCCCGCACCTTCCTCCTCCCCCTCCCCCTCCTCCCTCCTCCCATGATCGTCAGCATAATAATCATCATCATCATCATCATCATCATCATCATCATCATCATCATCATCATCATCATCATCATCATCATCATCATCAACGTCATCATCATCATCATCATCATGATCATCATCAACATCATCATCATCATTATCATCATCATCATCGTCATCGTCATCGTCATCACCATCATCACTCGTCGTCGTCGTCGTGGTTGTCGTCGTCGTTGTCATTCTGATGTTGATGATGATGGTGATGATGATCATCATCATTATTATCATCATCGCCGTCATCATCGTCATCATCATCATCTTGATGCGCTGTCATCATATCCCTCCTCTTTTACCCCATCAGAATCATCGTAATCATCATCATCAACATCATCATCATCATCATCATCATCATCATCATTATCATCCTCGTAATCATGATCATCAGCATCAACATCCTCATGATACTGATGAGCATCATCACCACCACCATCATCATCATTGCCGTCATCAGCACCATCATCGCCGTCATCATCACCATCATCGCAATTCATGCCAGCACCGCATTGAGCTTCCCCTAAGTCTCCAATGGTGCCGTTCGCATGCGTCCCCCGCACCCATTTCGGCACACCCCTCACACGCCTCGTGGCCCCAAAGGGAGCTCCACCCAAGGCCCCCATGGTGCCGTTCGCATGCGTCCCCCGCACACCCCTCACTAATTTCGTGGCCCCATAGGGAGCCCCCCCGAAGGCACCACTGGTGCCGTTCGCAGGCGTCCCCTCCACTCATACCGGCACACCCCTCACGTTTCGTGGCCCCATGGGGAGGGTCCCGATGGTACTGTTCGCATGCGTCCCCACACTCATTTCGGCACACCCCTCACACTTTTCGTGGCCCCATGGGGAGCCCCACCCACGGCCCCAATGGTGCCTATCGCATGCGTCCCCCACTTTCACTTCGGCACGTCATTCACGCGTTTCGTGGCCCCATAGGGAGCCCCACCCAATGCCCCAATGGTGCCATTCGCATGCGTCCACCACGCCCACTTCGGCACACCCCTCACACGCTTCGTGGCCCCATAGGGAGCTCCACCCAAGGCCCCAATGATGCCCTTCGCATGCGTCCACGGCATCCATTTCGGAACACCCCTCACACGCTTCGTGGCCCCATAGGGAGCGTTCGCATGCGTCCCCCGCACCCATTTCAGCACACCCCTCACACGTGTCGTGGTTCCATAAATGCTCCACCCAAGGCCCCCATGGTGCCGTTCGCATGCGTCCCCGCCACCCTTTTCGGCACACCCTCACACGTTTCTTGGCCCCATAAGGAGCTCCACCCAAGGTCCCCATGGGGCCGTTCGCATGCGTCCCTCCTCATCGTCGTCGTCCTCCTCCTCCTCTTCCAGCTCCCTCTTCGTCTTCCTTCCCCGAGGCCCAGAAGCTCCTCCGATCCAAGCTTTTTGCAACTCCTTGAATATGCCCCGAAATCTTCCACTTCAGTTCTAAAGCGTCTCACAGGGGCCCTCATGTTTACCATAAGGGGTTCTCAAGCTTCTCTGAGAGGCCTCAGGGGCTCTCCAAGGCTCTCCAGAGGCTGTTCAAGGGGCTCCGCGGCTGTTCCAGTCCACCTCAGTCCCGTCCAATCGTCTCCAGCCCTGTCTACTCCAGTCTATTCCAGTCCACTCCGTTTCAGTATTCTGATCTATTGGGAGTTTGCGCTGGCTGACATTTGTTTTGCTGCCCGCCTCTACACAGCGGGGACACGGCCGCCTCGCGCCGATTCCGATCACGCCGCGCCCTGGTGCGAGCAGTGCAGGCGCGCGGCCCGTCCTTCGCCTGCTCCGCCGCGCCTGTGCCTTCTCCTCTCCCCCGCGCGCCCCTGTGCCTGCCGGTCGGCCGCCGCGGCCCGGCGTTCCCGACCCGGCGGGCCGGCCGTGCAAAGGCTGCGCCATACACGATGTAGTTCAGGAGGGAAAAAAGCACACAGACACAATCAATCGTCGACTCCCAGAAAGTATGGGAAATGATGGGAAGTGGGGGGGGAAGACAAAAACCCAGAACATATGGGAAAATATGGGGAATCTTTTTATTTGTGTGTATTTATTTGTGTGTCCCAGGGCCCCTTCAGTAGTGGAAGTACACGACGTGGTTGCGAACGACGCTCAGTGACGTTTAACCGATCCCCATCCCCATCCCCATCTCCTTTCGAGACCACCACCAAGCCACCACCCCAGTTGGGGATGCACCCCTCGAAACCCGAAGGGAGCGGCCTACATCCCCATCCCCTTCTAGGAGGGTGTAAGTCGGCCAGTGGGGCCCGGGCCACGCCGCGGGGGATGGGGATCGGTGAAACGATACGCAGACGCCCTCCCACCAATCTCCACAGATCCACGGCTGGTGGGGCCCCACCCGTAGAAGCGCGGGATGGTGCCGAACGCGCACATCGCCTGACCTGCACACCTGCGCCGAGCCCTGGCAAGGCTGGCCGCGGGGCCCAGGATCGGATGCATGCGTCTGCGCCGCGCCCCAGGGCAGGGGGGGCGTAGACACTTGGCATCGCTCGGACGTGTGAAGGCTTTTTTTCTCGACGGGGGCCATTGAGGAGCATCTTGGAGCATCTTGCGAAGCAGTGGACGCGCGGGATCGAAACATGCACAGGGAATGGACGTCCGAGCGATGGCGAGAGATGCACCGACTCTGGGCCCAGGACGGGCCTGGCCAGGATCGGTACAGTCAAGACGCTGAAACGAGGACCACTTTGGGCTGACGCGGTGCACTGGTTTTTGGGCCGCTCCTCCGACTTCGGTTGTGGAGCCTCGTTATTCACGGGCGACGCCCACCGTGGCCAGAAACAAAAGCCCGCGCTCCTTGATTTGGCGTTCCTGATGGCAGCACGGTGCTTGCTTTGATGTAGCGTTGGCACCCCTCCGAGTCGTCGACTCGTTCACGGATGCTCGCGGCCCCCCCCCTCCTGTGCGCGGCCCCCCTGCTCGTGCCCATCCCCCTTGCGCCGAGGACGTGGGCTCCGCCTTCGTGCCTCCGCCGGAGGACCTGTCGCCCGAAGCGCTCCGACAATTGAGGGGGCGGGGTCCTGGGGGGGAGCTCCTCCCCTCCTGCCGGCTCCCCCTTTCGCCAGCTTCTCCCAGTCCTGCCCTCCCCCTCTTCACTTCTCCGCTCCTTCTCCCCCCCCCCGCTTTTCCCTCCCCGCCCCTCCCTCTCACCTCTCCTCTCCCCTCTTCTCCTCTCGTCTCCTCTCTTCTCCTCTCCTCTGTTTGCCTCTCCCCCTTCGACTCCCCTGGGACGCACTACGAATACTACTCTCCTCTCTCCCCTGATTCTGTCCGGGAGATGTTCAGCCCTCTTCGCTGATTGTTTTTTGCACAGGGCATGACATTTTTTTGTTTGCCCTATCTTTACATAGCTGCATCGTGTCTTCGGTGTTGCACCCCGAGTACGGCGCTTCAAAATTGTGTTTCCGCTGCAGAGTGGACCTCATTGTCGTATCGGCGTTTTGCTCCCGCCGTTCAGAATGGCGCTCTCGCCCCAGCACGGGCCATTTTTCTGGACCCGAGTTTTTTCTCATCGTTGTCGCTGCCCTCAATTCCCCTCCTCCGCCTTCCCCTTGTCCTTCTTCTCTCGCTCCTTCCACTCCAGTTCCCGCTGCTGCTGTTCGTGCTCGCCCTCCTCCTTCCCCCTCCTCCTCCTCCTCCTCCTCCTCCTTCTCCTCCTCCTCCTCCTCCACATGCTCAGCTCCCACTCTCCAAATGCGCATAACACAATGGGGGAATTCGGGGGTTTCAGGTCCGTTATGACACGCATCTGCGGATAGAGGTAGATCTCCGCAGTGGGAAGGGGTGGGTGGTAGGGGGTAGACGTCAGATATGGCGCGATCGCGCCTAGCTAGCCCTTCTCCTCTTTCCTCTCTCCTCTCGTCTCCTCTTCTCTCCATCCTCCGTTACGTCCCTCCTGTTAATGCTGCGGTCTCGATCTTGCAGGATCCTGCATATCCTATCCAGGGCTGCACCTACCCGGGTTTGGGTGCAGGATCTTGCGGGATCTACTGACCCGGGAAAATGCAAACCCGGGTCAGTAGATCCACGGCAGGTGCGGGTCGCCTCCAGCGTGCGACCTCCGGCCCGAGTTTCGGAGAACTTAGGCACGCCACATTTTCACACCCTCGGAGCTCTAGGCCGCCCAAATGGGGTCCGAGAAGATGGGGTCGGAGGATCGCGCCGCATTGCCGATGCATCGTCGATGCATCGGCGATGCGGAGCCAGATTTTCTCTACGCTGGCGTCGCCGATGCATCGGCGATGCGGCTCGAGCCTTCTCCCTCCGGGAGGCGCGCTCCTGCGCGGTGAACATGGCGAGGGGCCCCGAGGCCGCGGGGCCGCGTCGTGACAGGGCGACCAGCGATCCGGAGAGCCGCATCCCCCGAGCTGGCCGTTCCGTGCGCGATGTGTTCACCAGGAGCCCCTGGCATCGCTCGGACGTGTGCATTTTTCCTTCGGCGAGGACAGCATCCTTGATCATCTGGCGAAAAAACCACGCACGAAACCGAAAAAAACACAGGGAATGGACGTCCGAGCGATGGCGAGGACAGGGCGACCAGCGATCCAGAGAGCCGCATCCCCCAAGCTGGCTGTTCCGTGCGCGATGTGTTCACCAGGAGCCGGCTCCGCGGGGGCTTCCCTTCCCCTGCCCTGCCTGCCTGCTCGGGCCCTGGCCGCGAGGCCTCCTCGAGGAGCCCCGCGCGGACACTGCTCGGGTCGGCGCTGCTTTGATGAACGCGAAGACTATAGAAAGCCATATCGTCCTATAGATTTCTATAGGATCGTATCAACATGTAGTGAAAAATAGTGAACATAGTCAAAAAAGTGAAACATATGTAAACATAGTGAACAAATCGTGATGATGAATAGTGAATATAATGAAACAAGTAATGACAAATTGTGAAACATAGTGAAAATAGAAAACAATGAACATAGTGAAAAATAGTGACGATAACAAATACGCAACACGAGTACAACATCGCATAAGCATGCAAGCGTAGCAAAGCGGACAGACCGCTGCAAACATGAATAAGCAAAGCGGATGGTCCGCTGAGAAGGAGCTACGTTTGACAACTACAAAGCAAAGCGGTTGGTCCGCTGAGGAGGAGGAGGAGGTGGAGGAGGAGGAGGAGCAGGAGGAGGAGGAGGAGCGTGGGGACTACGCCGTTCGCAAAATTTCGAAGCAAAGCGGTTGGCCCGCTCCTCCTTCTCCCCCTCCTCCCACGAGAACCCAACAGATCTCCCAGCAGGAGGAGGAGGAGGAGGAGCAGGAGGAGGAGGAGGAGGAGCAGGCGGAGGAGGAGGAGGAGGAGCAGGAGGAGGAGGAGGAGGAGGAGGAGATGCGGGAGGAGGGGGAGGAGGAGCAGGAGGAGCAGGAGGAGGAAACAATTCAGATAAACAATCGTTATATATATACATATATAAAGAACCGGAGAGAGGAGCAACAAACAAACAACTGAGAAAAACATGGGAACGACAAAAACATGGGAAGGAACAAACAAACGGGAGGGTAGCAAAAGGGGGACGACCCCAGGCAAACGCCAGAGGAACCCAGGACAACCCCAGGCAACACCAGACAACACCAGACAACACAAAAACAACAAAAAACAACAAACAACACCACACCACAACAAACAACACCAAACGACAACAACTAACAACACAAACACAACAAACAACAGCAACATGCACCATGTTGTTTTTTGTTGTTTTTGTGCTGCCTGGTGTTGTCTGGGCGCGGGCGCGCCCAGACAACACAAGACAACACAAACCAACCAGCAACAACAACAAAAACAACAAAACCACACCAAACAACACCACCAGACAACACCAGACAACACCCAGACAACACCCAGACAGCATCCAGATAACAGTCAATGGGGTAGAGACGGAGGAAGCACGCGGAGAGACACGGGGGGGGCGCGGGAGGGACGCGGGAGGAGTGGGGGCACGGGAGGGGCGGGAGGGACACGGGAAAGACACGGGAGGGACACGGGACGGGCACGGGAGGGACACGGGAGGACTGACATAAGGGACACGGCACGGCAGGGACACGGGAGGGACACGGGAGGGACACGGGAGGGACACGGGAGGGACACGGGACGGACACGAGAGGAGTGGCATCAGGGACACGGCACGGACACGGGAGGGACACGGGAGTGACACGGCACGGACATGGGAGAGACACGGGAGGGACACGGGAGGGACACGGGAGGGACATGGGAGGGATACGGGAGGGACACGGGAGGGACACGAGAGGAGTGGCATAAGGGACACGGCACGGACACGGGAGGGACACGGGAGGGACACGGGAGGGACACGGGAGGGACACGGGAGAGACACGGGAGGGGCACGGTAATTAGGAACGCATCGTTTTTTCAAGCGAGGATGTCGAGCGCACGGCTCGACGGAAGAGATCGTCGGGCGCACGGCTCGACGGAAGAGATCGTCGAGCGAACCGCCGCTTCTCGCAAGCAGATGCTCTTATGTTTGCATCTGGCGCAGCGTTGCATTGCCCAGCAGGGGAGCGAAGACGGATCGACGGTGAGATGGCGATGGTGAGATTCTATGGTGACATTCTCGATGATGCGAGGGAGGCTGCAGACAGCAGACTGGAAAAATAGTGAACAATAGTGAAAACATAAAGAACATATTAATAATAGTGAAACTAGCGAAACATAGCGGACAATAGTGACAACTATTGAACGATAGTCAACAATAATGAAAGATAACGAAACATAGTGAAACACTAGCGAAACATACAACAACTAAACAGTTTTAGGCTTCGCAGCTCTCGCTGATGATAGGGCCCTATATCCCTTATAGGAAAAATTAGTTCCCCTAATCGTCACTAATACTAATGGCCGCCCTATAGACCCCGAACCTATCCTAAATAACATCCGAACCTATCCTAAACCCTCCTATAGGATTCTAACATAGCATCACTATAACCATTGATAAATGCTTACTTCTTAGCGTTCATCAAATTGGGCCCCCGTTCTCCTTTGTGCGCACCCTGGGCGTGAAGCTGGCCAGCCGTCCTGCCGCCGCGCGCTCGCCGCGGGCTATTACTACTACTACGACTACTACTGCTACTACTACTACTACTACTACTACTACTTACTAGTACGGCTACGACTACGACTACTACTACTACCACGACTACGACTACTACGACGACTACTACTACTACTTCTACTACTACGACTACGATTACTACGGCTACTACTACTACTATTACTACTACGACTACGATTACTACTACGACTACGACTACTACTACGACTACTACTACTATTACTACTACGACTACTACTACTAGTACTACTACGACTACGACTACTATTGCTACTACTACTATTACGACTACTACTACGACGACGGCTACTACTACTATTCATGCTACGACTACTAATGCTACTACTACGACTGCGACTACGACTACTACTACTACTACTACTACTACGGCTACTACGACAATGACTTCTACTTTTACTACCACTCCTACTGCTACTACTGCGACTACGACGACGACTGCTACTACTACTACTACTACTACTACGACTACGACTACGACTACTACTACGACTATTACTACGACGACGACTTCTATTACTATTATTACTACTACTAATACGACTACTAGCACTACTACTGCTACGACTACGACTACTACTACTACTACTACTATTACTACGACTACGACTACTACTACTACTACTACTATGACTACCACTGCTACGACGACTACTGCTACTACGGCTACGACTACGACTACGACGACTACTACTACTACTACTACGACTACTACTACTACGACGGCTACTACTTCTATCACTACTACTACTACGACTACGACTACTACTACTACTACTACTACTGCGATTACGACAACTACTACTACTACTACGACGACGACTACTACTACGACTACGACTACTCACTACGATGACTCCTACTACTACTACTACTACTTTCACTATGCCTACGACTGCTACTACTACTACTACTACTGCGACTACGACG